GAAAATTAATAAAAAATAAAGATATTATTAAATTAATTAATATAAAACTCATGTACTGGTGACACAATATGATGTCTTTGTGTTTTATATTAATTAATCTCTTCAGAAATAACTATAATATGTACAATCAAAAATTAAAAAAAACAAATTAGATATTCACTTTAATACATAAAATAATACAAATTATTATAATAATTATTATTGTTAAGGTGTGTTTCTCTTCAGCAAAACATATTCAAATAATCCTAAGAGATCGATTTTTGGTGCAATTACATCATTTGTTTAAAATGTTTTATAATCCCCATTTATTATTTTAAACAAATAGCTCTACTAGTCACGAAGTTACCATCGAAAAAACAACATTCCAATCACTCTTGCGATTATAAGTCAAATATCTTTACCCTTTATTTTCACAGTCGTACATTTTATGCAGTAACATCTCCGATAAGAAGAGTAGTCAAAGAATGATCTTCAATATTCTAAAACTGAAATAACACGGTTGCTGAAAAAAATCTTAGAATTTTGTAAAATAGATTAAATGTAAGCAATTATTTCATTTAAGGAAGCTATAATATGTCGTAATATAAACTAAGCTTCAGATTAATAATTGAAACAAAATGTCAAATGTAATTGATAGGACAGTTATAGAAAAAAAAGCAGTTTATCATTTTTAAGTATCTATAATACTTCATGTTTCGCACGATGCTCATACACGCCCGTGCGCACGCACGCGCGCACGCACGCACGCACGCACGCACGCACGCACGCACGCACGCGCGCACACACACACACACACACACACACACACACACACACACACACACACACACACGTGTATAATTGTCATGTTTTATAATAAACGTATTGCAAAGCGTATTACTACCCACATAAGCGTGCATAGTTTATGTCTTTCTTATTGTCAATTGTGCATGAATGTTAATAATAAGTTCATTTGTATTTTTCGTCATTTATCGGATGTTTATCGATATCTCGAAACTTACTCGTTATATTCAGTTTCGTTCTCAATAAACTTAATATTAAAATGAATATTGTTTAACGAGAATTAAATAATTAAATAAACTCCTTTAATATAAAAAGTAATTATATTGTACGACTTGATGCTTCTCTGTTTCGCAAGTTAACATTTATTAAACTTTGGCATTGAAAAATCTACGACATATATTTCGTACTTTTGAACCAATAATGCTGTGTTTTCAAATCACTCAAAAGAGCGACATGACACATTTGTATCAAATATATTTTTTGTAGATATTAAAAAACTAAATCTTTTAGTTCAATCTCTTAAAAATCTTTAAAAAATTTATTATGTATAAGAAAGGATATATCGAGAAAAAAATTTACCGAATCTTAATATATATTTTTTCCAATAGTACTAACTAAATATTTACAGTAAATAAATATTTATTCAATAAAAAATAATAGTTAAATCGAATTAATAGTTCTTGTATCAAGTATAAATATATGTTTACATTTAGTAAATATTTAGTCAGTATATTCAAATAAATATTTATTAAAATTTAGTATTTTTTTTCAATAAAAAAAAATGTTTAATATATACTTAAGAAAATCGAAATCTTATTAAAAATTTTTTTTTTAATCTATAAACTAAAAAAAAGAATGTTTATAGTTTAGGAGTTTTAGACATAATGTTAAATACATTTAATTAATTCTTGCCTTGAATTACTTGTTAGTCTAAATTAGTAAAAAAACTAAAGATATAAAAATTAAAAAGTTAAATTAATTGCAAAATTATATATATATAAAAATAATATAAAAATAAAAAAATCTATCTTTGACAATAAATATGCTGCTAATTTTACTAAAAGTTAGGCTTCATAATTATAGTATCTCACAATATGACTACATACTATAGATCAAGAGATATAATAATAATATTATAAAATACAGTACAGTATTGTAATCTCTTTTCTTCAAAAAATACAGAATAATCGCGACAAAATTCCGGGAGGGGATTGTACGTTTTTATTACTCTACATATGTATCAGTCTATCTCACTGATAATGACGCATAAAACGGTGGCTTATAAAAATATAGACTATTGCATCATTAAAAAATAAATGCTTATTAACGATATTCTGTCAGAGTATTTTCTGTTTGCAGGAGGAAGAACAGAATGATATTAAAAAAAAAGCATAGCAAATATACGATTATAAATTCGATAATGGGAAGGAATACATAACATTGTCGTACCAGCTCAAACCACTTGAATACGAGATAATTCAGAATCATTGCATATAGTTAAGAAGATATTACATTGTGGCATCATTATAATAACGAACGACTTTGAAAATATAATAACTTGTTTTAATATATATACAATCATTAGATTACTATTTCCAGTATTGCACTAAAAATATTCTCGCAAATTTTTTAAATGTAATAAAAAATTTACATAAATCTATTAATAAATCATATTTAATAAATTTGTTTAAGTATACAAATATATCATATATATTTATATAATAAATTTAAGAGAGATTTATAAATATATTTATATAAATTTTGAATATAATAACATTATATGGCTTTAATACCGTAATTAGTATTGTAATTATAAAATAGACATTAATCAATACGTAAATAGCGTAAATTCTGAATTATCTAGTACAGAACATTGCATGTATATATCTAATATATCATGCATTTTCGGACACAAATACGATTCAATTCCCAGCATCCGTTGAAGACGTCTTGTTGCCATTGGGCACAGTATAAAACTCGCTTAATAACTTCATATGCCTGCCGTTCAGATGAGTGTTTAAGCTTGACTTGTGTTTCGTTCTGTAAGGGCACAAGGGGCAGTGGAATTTGGGTTCTACGCCGCACTCATGCTTCAAATGCCTAGCCAAGCTGGAGTAGTAGCTGTAGACTTTGCCGCAATTCCTGCAGGGGTACGTCACCCTCTGACAATTCAGATAACCCACCGAGCGCGCATCTGGAAAATAAAAGAATACAGGAATATCCGATTAGAGAGTATTGTTTATAGACGCGACTGCGACTCTTCTTCGCGAATTCGTGCATAACGTGCGGATAGAGAAGAGAAGACTCATCGACGATGTCTAGGATCTAGCTGGATGTTTACTCGTTTATCTCTCGTAGCTTAGTCTGTCCCAAAGGAAATACGTGTCGCGTTAAACAAAAAAAATCACCATATCTGTACTTTCACAATCGTATTTGAATATTTCATGCTAAGTTCACAAATCACGAATTTTTCATGAACATTACTTTTCAGTTACATAACAGTCAGTTTCGTCGGATAGCTTGTATGTACAATGTAGGAAAATGAAAAAAGATTAACATAAAGTCTTGCAGAAGAACGATGTATTTAGAGCAATGTATAAATATATATCTTAATAATTAATAAACGTGATAAATAAATTGATTTTGACATTTAGATCACATTTATAATCATTGTCTCGAATATTATAAATAAGAACGAGTCTGAGAATGACACATCGAGTCATTCTGAATATATGACAGAAATCTAGAGTCATTCTAAATATTATTCAAAACCAAAAAATTATTGAAAAATATTTGAAAATCTTGAATGTGTCAAAGTCATTTGAATATCTTGAATATCTTGAAAAATATACTAATTTCGATAGAATAGAAAATATATTATATTTATGTATATTACTATATAT